ACAGTGTTTCTTTGCTATTCATAAGGTTTTCCCTGGCCAATTCTTTGAGAAGTGGATGGCCTCTTCCTTCTTCCTAGTCTGTCTCAGTCTGTAAGCTGGGCTGATACCTATGTACCATGTGCATCCCGCTGGGTTTGAAACACCAGTGGCTCAGCCTCAAAACTCACATCAACATGTCACCATGGTGGGACAAACTGACAGATAAGTTTGTCTCCCTGTTGGAAACCTGTCATACCACCCTTACCTGGGTCCCTGCGCCTGACTCCTCCTCTGTCCGGATTCCTGGGCCTTTTAATCCCCTTTCTCCCACTCTCCTACTCTGCTGCTTTGGGCGTGCCTGAGTTCCCTCTGCTCACCTGAATCCCTGTGGTGACTAATACAGAAGCTTAGTTTCCTGATTATCCAAAAACTCCAACTAATGAAGTTACTCTATTTCATTCCTACAGACTTCTTTTTCCTATGGCATAACTATATCATTAAATTCCACTATATGACATTTTTTAATTAAAGCATCAGCTAACTGATGTGACAATCTGATATGCAGGATCCTAACTGTGGTTCTCTAGTGGCATAGTGCCTAAAGCATTTGACTGCTAACTAGAAGGCTGGTGGTTCAAACCCACCAGACACTTCCTGGAAGAAAGGTTGGGCAATCTGCTTCCATAGTGATACTGCCTTGGAAACCCAAGGAGGGATCTCTATGAGGCACCTGACTCAATGGCAGTGGGTTTTTGTTTTTGTTTTTTTTAAACTGTGGTTCTATCACAATATAGCTCTGGTTACTTTCTAATCATTTGTATTTGTATTTGTGTGTGTGTGTGGGGGGGGGGGTTCCTGACTGAATCAACTTACACTCACTGCCATCAAGTTGGATCCAACTCATAGTGACCCCCTCCTTGGGTTTCTGAGCAACTTAGTAGCTCATATTTGAGACTTAACTGATGGTGGGTTATTTTAGTGACCTCAAGTACAGCCTGTGGGAAGGGAAGGTCAGTCACAGGATCTCAGAGTAGGAAGGGAGGTCATCATGGCCAAGCTATGTCTTGAGCAGGAATGTGGAGCTGGAACACAGGGTCTTTCTAGTTAATATCCAGGGATTCTGCAGCACAGGGACTACTTGCAATCAAGTCAACTACTCAACTTTAAACCTATAAAAATCTATGACTCTGCGAAAGGTTCATCCAAAGGATTAAAAAAAATATAACTGGTGCAAGAAATTAGAGAGTGAGTGTGATGAAGGGTAAGACAAAAAGGGACAACAGAACGAGGAGGAAACCACACCACATGGGGCGTCTGCATCGTTCTAAACGGGATGATCTGGATCTCAGCACATGTCCACCGCACCACCACAGAGTGTGACTGTGATGTGATTTCATCTTCCTCACAGGGCAGGGAGAAACCCCACAAAGATGTGGACAATACTTCAGTGGGCACTTTTAGATGTCTATCATCAGAGATGGAGCCTACAAGCATATTGTTGTTGTTGTTATGTGCCGCCCAGTCGGACCCAACTCATAGCAACCCCTCGTTGGGTTGCCGAGGCAGTATCACTACGGAAGTAGATTGCCCCGTGTTCCTTCTGAAGAGTGACTGGTGGGTTTGAACCACCAGCCTTCTGTTTAGCAGTCAAGTGCCTTAGGCACTAAGCTACCAGAGCTCCTCTACAAGCATAAGGACCTATCAAATGTGAATGGTGAGAGCATCACTCCAGATTCAGACAAAAATCATGAATACACATAAATAACCGTGGGGAAAGATTATGTCCCCAGCTTAGGAAGCAGGTCTTTTGAGAGAACAAACAGTCTGCAGTGGTTTGCAGAGCTTTTCCTTCAACATCTGGGCCCCTTGAATTTTAAAACAGAAATATGAGAAAACCAACTTGGACAGTGTTTGTGTCATCTCAGTCTGACGAGTCCTGAGTCGAGGCCCTTTGTAGATTGGCTACTTTATGACAAAGTCTCTTTAGGGCTCCCAGATGGATGCTGTTGCTTACAATGCTACTCTGTCAAACAACTCAGATGTCCATCTGCAGAGCGATAGATCCAAACAAAATGAAGTAACCCTAACAAATCTCTACCCCACTGGTCTAAGCATAAGTTAGGGGGACAGAAGTGACTATAGCAACTGTGGCTGACCAAAAACTCCCCAAGACAGTGCACATTCTAGTCATATCAAAGCTGACCCCTGAGCTAAGCCTCTTGACAAACTGATTGAAGCAGATGTATATAGAAGATTAAGACCCATCTTCTGTTTTCTTTTGTAGTTAACACACTGCCATCTCTGGCTTTTTGCTCCTTCCAGGCAAATTCCTCATCTCCTGACTACAATATAGCTCATGTGAGGTCACAATCTTTCAATTGCCTTTGGATGTGGGTATGGAAAATGCAGATGAATAAAGCAACATGCTCACTGCCTTTGGGCTTGTTTCTATAAGGAACAGGTCTTGGATTAAACTCTGCTTTCAACACGTCTTCCAAATAGACTTTTGAAATAGTGCAGAGCAATAGTTCTGAAAACAGACATTCCTTGAGTGACAAACACGGTCAGCTGCATTAGAAATTCAGAAAAGAGGTTAAGCATATACCTTTTTGGGGGGCTCATCAGGTGTGTCCATGGGAGTGATAGAGCCCTCTTCAGCCTCAGAGTGGTTAGACTCACAGGATGACACGCTGACAGAGTCCATGCTTTCGCCAGAGCTCCCGCTGGCGGTGGACTTGGGCTGCTCTTTGGTGGGAGTACTACTGGTGATAATGTCTGAGCCCAGAAACAGTCTGCAGGAAAGAGAATGCCAGGCATTTGGACTGTTACTAATCTGGAATCCGTGATTAAGCCAATATTTTTGTGTTGATTAAATCCTTGATGTTTTCTCAATCTTACGGGTCTTGTCATTGTTATTTTAGGAAAACATTTGCTTAAAAGTTTCTTAAAAACCTTGGTAAACATCATGTCCTAATAGGTTATTTCCAACCTCAAAGAACACACAGATTGTTTAGCTGCAAGAGGGAACATATTAATCTGAGTTCCTTCTAGATCAATGGTTCTCTGTTTTTAACAGTCTGTGGACCACTTTCCAAAAACCAAACCAAACTCACTGCCGTCGAGTCAGGTCCAACTCATAGCGACCCCTCCTTGGTTTTCCGAGGCAGTATCACTACAGAAGTAGATTGCCCAACCTTTCTTCCGAGGAGTGGCTGGTGGGTCTGAACCGCCAGCCTTCTGGTTAGCAGTCAAGTGCCTTAGGCACTACGCCATCAGAGCTCCCTTTAGCAGGATCAAAATATCATCACCCCACCTTTATCATGTCCCACCTAAAATGAACATCTTGAGACTGAAGAAGGCTGGCTTTGAATGAGAAATTAAGGAGAAAGACTTTCGTTTCCAACAATCTGGAAAACTACAGTAACCTGAAGCCCTCTACTATAAAACAACTGGATCAGTAATATAAACAATTCCTTTTAATGTTGAGTTTGCAAGATATTAAGGGAAATCCCTAACAGGCAGAAACAAAAAGAGAACTGAAAACTAGAAGCACGTGAGCTAATTCTGCAGCTGGTCTGGTCGGGGAGTAGGAGGTGCCAGTGTTAGTAAACTAGGGACATGGATTTTAACACGTACACAAGGACCCAAGGCTCCTGTTTATGGAGGGTGGAGAACCGGAACCAAAGCCCCTCATACACAGCTAGGACCCTCAAAGGGCTGCCCCTTCAGCAAAGAGATTGCTAGAAAAGTAGTACCCAATAGCACATGAAGACTATGTCTATCTTGACTTGGCCACAGGTGGAAGAAAAATGTCTTCCCTAAAATCATGTGTGACCAAATGCACTGACCCATGTCACTTTAGTTTTGTTTATTTCACTGTACATAAATTATATTTTAATGAAATGTACTTTAAAAAAAAAAAAATCATGTGTGACCTTGGCCTGTGCCTTATTCAGATATGAAGTTTGAATTTATGCTACCTATGGCATAGTGCCTAGGAGCTTTGAGGGTACAGTGCCTAAGGCTTTTGACTGCTAATGAGAAGGCTGGTGGTTTAAACAACTAGCCACTCCTCCTCGGAAGGAAGATTGAGCAATCCACTTCCGTAGTGATACCGCCTTAGAAACCCAAGGAGGGGTCGCTATGAGTCAAATCGACTTGACGGCAATGAGTTTGG